GGATCAGATATTGGAACATTTTGAAAATTACTCAGTTTGTAGTTAAGCCTTAGTTTAAAGATCAGTTTTGGATTTGGTTTTTAGTTGTGGGAGTTGTGGAAATTATGAAAATCTAAAATACTACAAGACAGGCAACCTCTAATGCACATTTAGTTGTGTCAGTAAGCACAATGTTACAACACTTGGTCAGCACCTGTAAGGATTGCATTGTAGTATGCTGGGACTCCATTTAATTTCATTTTTCAGTGGGCAGGATAGTTCCACAGAATTAAATAGCTAGACTTTGGCCAGCTGAGATCATGGGTTTGTTGCAGATGTGAAAAGATTTCCTGGTTAATGTTGTATACCCTCACTGGCCACTTTATTTGGTAAAACTTGCTAATACTGGGCTGGACTCCCTTTTACTCCTCAAAACATCCTTAATTTTTGAAGATAAAAGGGGTGATCTGCTCTGATACTCATCAGACCACATCATGTTTTTACAAAGTTTTTTTGTCCACTTTTGAATGTCAGCCTCACCTTCTTGTTCCTAGCTGATAGGAGTGACACAGTGTGGTCTTCTGCCACTATAGCCCATCTGCTTCCAGATTCAACATTATATTTGAGTTAATATTGGCTATCCAAAGCAGACTGGCCATTCTTCTCTGAACTCTGGCATCAACAAGGCATTTTCTCTCTCACTGCCAGTAGATATTTTCCCTTTTGGAGACCATTCTCTGTAAATCCTAGAGATGGTGGTGTGGGGAAAAAACACAGACAAGCCTGTCTTCAACAACAATCTTGTCACATTCAAAGTCATTTATTAAATGACCTGTTATCCCAATGCTAATTTTGGGTTTGATCTTCAGTCGGTTGCCTTAACCATGTCTACAAGCCTAAATGCGTGAAATTGCATTTTTTTCCTAAAAATAACCAAATAACTACAGAGAAGACAAATCAAACACAAAAATAAACATGTAAAAAAAACAAAGTGGTCCCACACATTTTTACAACACTTGAAATGTTATAGTGATGCGTTTCTTCATGGTAATGAGACATGCTGTGATGCATGGCCTGGGGACACTAGCACTAACAAAAAGACATGACGCAGAGCAGGACGTGGCAGAGATGAAGATGCTAAGATTATCATTTGGGTGACGAGAATGGATAGAATTATGAACAAGTATATCAGAGGGACAGCTGAAGTTGAGACATTCAGAGACAAAGGTGACGATAAAATTCTGAGATGGTTTGGACATACAGTGGAAGCATAGTGGATATACTGGGCAAATGATGTTAAATATAGAGCTGCCAGACAGGAGAAAAGAGGAAGACCACCCTAGAAGATTTGTGGATGTAATGAAGCAGGACAAGCAGAGAGTTAGTGTGACAGAAGAAGATACTAGGACATAGTTAGATGAAGGCAAATGATCCGCTGTAATGACCCCTAAAGCGAGCCGTCAAAAGAAGAATAAGATTGTGCATGCTCAAAGAGCTCTGAGGGGGGCACATCTTACTTAAAATTGTGAAAACAGTAGGTGATAAGTGGGGGAAAAGTTGAAGGAAGGAATAGCCATTTACTCAAAGTATCCAGGAGAATTGTCTTTTACCTCAGCAATCCTTTAAATGTGTCTTTGTGTCAGATTTCTTGTTGACTCTGCTTTTGTTTTCAGAAAGCATGGCAAACCTTTACTTTAAACCTGACAGTGGTCTGTTTTAAAATATGTCAGATCCACAGTCAGCCACTGACCCACGGAATGAGAAAGTAAAAACTGTGAAACGCAACTGGGAAGCAACCAAGAAGTCTTGAGTTGGAAATAATTTCACACCAGGCTACTTTTATGTCTGTCAGTACCACTGGCTGCATGAGTGACTGCAGATTATTCCACGTTATTGAATGGAAAGATTCAATCAGAGCTTTTGTGATTTTATCTCCACGCTGAAGCCTTCCACCTGTAATGTTTTGCTGCTTAATCAAATGTGTAATTAGAGTATAACAAACAGTCTTCTGTGTTGTTTTGAGGGGTTCCCTGTCATAGAGATCTCAGTTTATGATTGGAGCCACAGGCTTATATTATGGATTGACATCCATAAGGAATTAGATTAAAAATAAATAAATAAATGAACCAACATTTAACTTTACTAGAATGCATACAGACGTCACTTTGTCTTTCATACCGCAGATGACAGCGATGTCTGCAATATTAATTACTATGTATGCACTGCCATCATGTATTGGGGTTTGAAGTGAAGGGCTTCTGTCATCTTCGCACTCTCAGTCAGTTCATGTTTATTCTGAGATATTCTTTTAGACAGAAGACATTCTTGTTTTTATTTGTTGTCCTTCTGATTTACTCTCCAGACAGGAAATCATAATTGAAGCATTTGAATGAATTTGGAAAATAAATTACAATAAAATGAGGTTTTAAAAAAAGGGACCTGTTTCCTAGCAACATCAAATCAGTTTGTTATTCTGGTAGCGTGCGTGCATGTGTGTGTGTGTGTGTGTGTGTGTGTGTGGATGAGAGATGGAGAGAACGATTTAACTTAATACATCTTTAATATATCTTTTTGATGTATCATGTTAAAATTGACTTGATTTGCATCATTTGTGCTGTACTGCTTCCCATGAACATGTTGTCCCAAGCCCCCAGAAAGAAAAAAAAAATATCCCAGACTGTTTGGACAAATCCTCAAGCTGACTGACAAAAGATGGGACAGATTTCTGGATACAAAAATACTCTGGGCAATTCAACCCGGATGTGGAGAGAACCGAGTGTCTCTAAACACAAGTCTTAGTGTGGAATGAAGCTTATTTGTACTATTTGTGCAAATGAAAACTGAAGCTCCGTGAAACAAAGCTCCCAATCCCTTGTTAGTGGAACAGGCTTTGTCTTTGACAGACTCGGTTTGGGGGTTTCTTTCAAATGCTGTCTGAGGAGGTTTACTTACGAAAAACAGCTGTGGTTTTATTTTCTGTATAATGCAGGAGGATGGTTGAAAAGTATGGCTATGGGTTTTATTCAGAACTGTTTTAATGTAGAGCAAATTCAGCAGCTGTCCTGGTTATCAGTTAATTGCTGGATTTTTTTGTTGTTGTTGTTGAAATGTCGCAAAGTCACTTAGACAAAAGAAGATACCTTTGGTTTTGGGAGTTTTGATGGGAATAGGCAAGAAATCCTGAAGCAAGTTTGAGTGTCGAATTTTTTAATGAGTAAACATTAAATAATGCTTAGCTAGTCTTACTGACTAATGAACATTCAACAAGTTCCAAACATATTCAAAAAGATTGGGTTTTTTAAAGTTTTATTTTTATTTTGGGGATGTGTTGAGGGAAATTTGGGATTTAGTATCTGACCCAAAGAAATTTCAGATTAGATTAGTTGGGGATCAAATCACTAAGGCAAGATTCACAGTGGATTCAGGCTTTCCAGAATTTTGAGGTCAGGATATCTTTACTAGGGCAGTTGTCATAGCAACTATAACCAGTCATCAAAAGACTAGCTAGCAGGGCTTTGACTAGTGTTAGCATTAGCCAAGCTTGCTAATTCTTGTTACTAACTTTGTTTATATCCAATAGCTTGATTATTCACTGCAATGATCAATTATAAAAAATAAACAGACGGGCCAATTCATGCTCTCAGGATATTTGCATAAAAAATTTAATTGTCTAACAGCCATGCTGGCACTTCAGAAGTTGAATTTCTCTTGACTTTCGCCATGTGTA